TGCTCTCGTCTGTATCTGGGTCAGAAAGGTTCTGTTCCAGACAGTGTTATTTCAGTATCATTGAGATACTATTATAGTTTTTATTAATATTTTGAATTATTTTAGAATTTTATAGATCTTTAAAATAATTTCTATTTAATTTATTTTTTATACATTTCTATTTAATGAATTTATATAATTTTTAAAATAATTGTAATTTTAATTCTAGTTGAAGTTTTACAATTTTTTTTGCATGTTTTTTTATTATTTTATTTACATTTTTATGAGTTTTATTTCAGTATTATATTTATTTAATCTAAGTTCAAAATGAGAAATTTTTATTTTTTCAGATATCTTTTATTTTATTTCAAGTATCAATTTTTTATTTGAATGGTTTTAGTGAATGATAAATCCCCAGTTGGGAATGTTTCTCTGTCATTCCCCATGAATCTGAATGTTTGCATCAGTGTATCTCTTTCCTAACCTGTTTCTTTCTGTCTTTCTTGCTTTCTTTATTGGACGTCGATGTCAGATGGTAAGACTGGGATGTTTTACATGAGGATGTGAATTTGTTTGGTCTCTTTTGGCTGCTCAACTTTCCAGCTAAATTTGTTTTGCACTAATGTTGAGAAGGTTGCTGCGTGAGAAAGATCTTCCCATAATTCAGTTTAAACCCAAATACACAGTGACCTCAATATAGCTGTCTGGTAAACAGTTTGTGTTCTGATTTCAATTCTGTTTTTTTTTCTACTCTTCTGGATTATACGGAGAAATATTTACATTGCATTAGATTCTATTAAATTAAATTTGTGTTCTTTATTTATATAATTAAGTTAAAAGTGAAACACAGTAAAGTAAAGGTTTAAGATATGTTCAGCTTTAGCCTATGGAGAGCTTGTTCCCAAAACAAGTCTTGCAGGAATATATTAAATAAATAGAAATAAAAATAAAATGTTAATAAAAAAATTAAAAATTATAAAAAAAAAAAAAATTTCTGTAATAAAAGCAATATTTTGTTGATTTTGGATTATTCATTTTAAATTTGTGACAATTGTGCATTATCACCATCACCGTTTTGGTGTATTGAATATTAAATTAAGAAACAGCGATAATTTAATAAAAAAAATTAAAATTATGAATGAAATAAAAAGAATAAATTTAATGTCTTACTAATTTATTTTGATCATTAAGTTTAATTGAATCTGAATTAGTTGAATTATGTAGTTTTAAGTCTTGGATTTGATAACAGATGGTGCAACCAAATAAGATACTGAGATACAAACTAACTCCATACGGTTCTATTCTAACTAGGCTCCTAGTATGAATTAACATGACTTTACGAGCAGCTGGTGCAGCCTGTTGTTCTTCTTCTCTTTCTTTGCATCCTTTCACTTCCTGTGTTTCTCTCTCGTTTCTCAGGAGTTCTCCACCGGTGGCTCCAGTAACACAGACACCGGAAAGGCGGCTGGACAGCATCACTGATTATAATGAGTTCTATAGTATTTTGTCGCGCCGCGCCACTCGAGTCCGGTGTAGACACGGTGTAACATTGGTTTTGCTTTGTTTCACAGAACTAATCGTTGCCTGGGTTGCGTACATATGTTTGGGGCGGAGCTATCAAAATAGGGGCAAGACCCTTTTGGGGTAGGGGCATATTTGTTTTGGTGATTTCAAATGTCAACATTGGCTACCAGAAATCACTTACCCCACCTTTAACAATAACAATCCTGGCTCATAGTGCTAATGAGATGTGATTTACAAACAGTATTTAGCCCTTTTGAAGTTAATTGTGTTGTTTTGTATGTGTGTTGCAGTAATGATGGCACAGAGTTCGGCGGCTCCATCTATCAGAAGGTGAACGGTCAGTTGGAGACGGCGGTGAATCTGGCCTGGACCGCAGGCAGTAACAACACACGCTTTGGCATCGCTGTCAAATACCAGCTAGATAAAGACTCCTCCATCTCTGTGAGTGCAAAACACAATCCAGTAACAACGGACTGTCTCTGACTGTAGATGATAAATAACCCTGTGTCTCTCTTCAGGCCAAAGTCAACAACGCTAGTCTGGTTGGAGTAGGATACACACAGAGCCTCCGGCCAGGTGAGCAAACACCTTCATGTCATTAATAATCAGACATTCATTCCTTAACTAGGTGTTTACAAACTTAAAAGTTTGAAATAACTTTGAAAAGCTTGAAGTTTGAAGACTTTACTCAAAGCCAATAAAATGTCATTAACATGTTCTAGCACATTGCTTAAAGTCCCCATGAAATCAAAATTGACTTTATTTACTTTATTAGCGCACATTGCTAGTCTTGATGTGAACAATTAATCCGTGCAAGTTAATCCGCTGAAAAAAATTGTTTGTCTCGGTAATCTTTAATCAAAATCTGAACATTTGCTTCCGCTCTGGAATGGCATTCCTTCTCTGATGACTAGGGATGGGCGTATCGATCCTAAGTATCGATACTCTAACTAAAAATATTGATACTAAGGTGTGTTTTATTTACCAGTGATTTTGTTTATTTAAAATAATAATAATAATGCGTACAAATGCATTGAATTGGACGAATAACCTTTCTTCACAAGTAATTGTGTAGGATAGAACTATTTTCCTGCTCATCTGAACACGCTGATGTTGCAAGACAGAACCAATCCATCAAAGAGAGCGTTCACTCACTTCTAAAAGTGCATTCAAACAGGGCTGCGTTTCCCAAAAGTATCATAAGAAAGCATTAAAGCTTTTGGGAACAGCAGCCCTGAACAATGCTTATCAGAGGACAGAAAAAAACATATGTTTGAGTTATTTCACAATAAACAAATTGAAATCGTAGCCTACATAGTTTGTACAATTACATTTATTTAAATTGAACGTTGAAAGATAATATAGATTATGTTCTATTCTGTAATGTTAATAGAAATCATACACTGTTAGAACAAAAAGGTTGCATTGATGATGTCAGTTTGACGGCTTGGGCAGAATATCCTTAAACACGCCCCTCCAACCGTTAGTTTGCTATGAGTGCGAGACAGAGAGGAGGAGCGCCAAAATAAAACCACGCCCTCTATTATATATTGAACATTTACTTCCACTCTGGAATGGCATTCCTTTTCTGATGACGTCAGTTTGGCGGCTTGGGCAAAATATCCTTAAACACACCAATCCAACCATTAGTTTGCTATGAGTGAGAGATGAGAGGAGGAGCGCAAAAATAAAACTACGCCCTCTCTCCAATATTACGTTTCAGCTGGAAATACGTCACTACACTGAAATAAAGTCGGCAGCAACTTCCGGTTCACGTGGACTTTAAATGTTTAAGCTAACATGTTTAAGTTGCTAACATTATTTAACATGCTGCTGACATGTATTAGCACATTCCTAGAATGATTTAGCATATTGATAACATGTTGTTTGCATGATTTTACGTTTCTAACATGTTTCAACATGTTTTAATATGGTTTAGCATTTTGCTAGCATGAGTTTACACATTGCTAGCATGTTTTAACATGTTAACCTGTTTTAGCATGTTGCTAGCATGATTTAGCACATTGCTAGCATGATTTAACATGTTGCTAACACGTTTTGCATGTTGCTAGCACGATTTAACATGTTGATAACATGTTTTAGCATGTTGTTAGCATGTTTCAACATGTTTTAATATGGTTTAACATGTTGCTAGCATGATTTAGCATTTTTTTAACGTGTTTTCGCATGTTGTTAGCTTTTTAACACATTGTTAGCATTTTTTAACATCTTGCTAAGATGTTTTAGCATGTTGCTAACATGATTTAACATGTTAGCTTTTTAACACATTGTTAAGATGTTTTAACATTTTGCTAGATATGATTTAGCATTTTGTTAACATGTTTTAACATGTTGTTTGCATGATTTTACGTTTCTAACATGTTTCAACATGTTTTAATATGGTTTAGCATTTTGCTAGCATGAGTTTACACATTGCTAGCTTGTTTTAACATGTTAACCTGTTTTAGCATGTTGTTAGCATGATTTCGCACATTGCTAGCATGATTTAGCATTTTGCTAACACGTTTTGGCCTGTTGTTAGCACGATTTAACATGTTGTTAACGTGTTTTTGCATGTTGTTAGCTTTTTAACATGTTGTTAACATGATTTTAGAGATTGCTAGCATGTTTTAACATGTTGTTAACCTGTTTTAGCATGTTACTAGTATGATTTAGCACATTGCTAACAGGTTTTAACATGTTATGATTTAACTTGTAAATAACATGTTTAAATATGTTTTAATGTTTTAGCATGATTTAGCACATTGCTAACAAATACGTTTTAACATGTTTCTATCATGTTTTATCAATTTTCTAACATGATTTAACATGTCGCTAATGTTTTAGCATGTTATCGTGATTTAACATGTTAATAACGTTGAAACATGTTTTGATATGTTTTAGCATGTTTCTAGCATGAGTTAGCATGTTGTCCTAGCATAACTTTGCTAGTGGTAGACAGCTTCAATACTCTTTATGTGTTATTGTACAAAAGTTTTGATCCCTCAATGAAAGCTTATGGGATTTTTCGTAGATTTGATAGTCTGTTTTATGAAAGCCATAAGTGTTCAGTTAGAAAGGATATAGCAACCTGAGTCAGACCCTTCTGGAGGTCTGAGCCGAGTTTGTAGCAGAGATACAATCCAAATGAAGTCTCAGAAGAAGAAGAAGCTTAAAAAGGATTTCAGTATGCTGACTTCGTCAAGCCAACAGTGAAGCTAATAAATGTTCTGTATCTTCTGTAGGTGTGAAACTCACTCTATCTGCTCTGATCGACACTAAGAACTTCAACGCCGGAGGGCATAAGGTGGGCATGTGCTTCGAGCTGGAGGTGTAACGACGGACGGACGGAAGCAGAGAGGCATTAATGGAAAGAAAAGAAACGCAGGGAGCTGACGGTACGACTTCAGCACCTGCGAAAACACATCGCCCTTTCTCCCCGTAATTCCTCCTTAACTAATCTGGCCTTTAACCCCCGTAGAACCAGTAATAAACAGGATCACCAGTCACTTGATTCCTTGCCACACCAATCCTCCATCACCAGCTCAATATGTGACATCACCACGACAACAGCTTCCTCTCGGTCACTATGGCAACATATCACAGCACCTGTAATGTTACACACGTGGCACCATATCAATTTTTTTTTTTTAAACTAGATAAATATTGAGGTTTTGGTTTCTGAACAGTCGCACAGGATCTGATGTGTTGTGCTTTTAGTTCAAGGGTTTAATGTTTAATTAGAAACGCCTCTCTGAATGTCAAGCCCCACACTTTCTTTATAACGTTCGTTGCCAAATGCATAATATTTTATCATAAGTTTGTTGTCTGTGTTTGTGGGCTGGACTTATTAGAGGACGGTCCATTACTTGTTTTTATCCCCGTAAAAAAGTCACTTATGTTAAAAGCGGAGGACTAGAAGAAACTGATGTTGTGGAACTCAATAAAGAGGAATGTTGACTGAATAAAACCTATTTTCATTGGCTTTTTAAAGCAAACACTGGTCAAATAATAATAAAAAAACAAATTAAATGTTTAAAATTACACTAGAACCCAAAAACATAAACAAGAAATACTTGAATATAACTTATTTTTTGTGTAAAAAAACCCTGTACTATAGACTTATTAAATTTTTTTTTATTAAAAATTACAAAAACAAAAAATTACTAAAACTGTAATGTTTAAAATTACACTAGAACCCAAAAACATAAACAAGAAATACTTGAATATAACTTATTTTTTGTGTAAAAAAACCCTGTACACCAATGTTATTACAGTTAACTAAAACTAAAACCATGAAATAACAACATACTAAAATAACTAAAACCAAAATAAAAATTAATAAAAACTATAGACTTATTACAATTTTTTTTATTAAAAATTACAAAAACAAAAAATTACTAAAACTGTAACTAAAATGAACATGAAAACAAAATATAATATCAAAATATTAATACAAACTATATCTCACCGATACTAAAAGTGATACGAAGTGATATGCTGCTGTACGCCAAAGAAAAAGTTATATTTTTTCTCAGCATATAAAAATAATTTCCATAACTTAAGATATATTTCAGAAGTTTTAGGTTCTAAAAATGTTTATATTTAATGAAATTGCACTAGAAAAAAATGAACACACAAAATACTTGGATGCAACATTTTGTTCATTTTTTTGTCTGTAAAAAAATACCTATCTGTGTACCAAAGAAAAGGTGCTATTTTTTCTCAGCATATAAAAATAATTTCCCTGAATGAAACTGTACTTCACATATTTCATAGGTTCACATGCTCATGTGTATGATCTGGATAAGTTTACCTTTTGTCATGAAATCTTCATAGCACCATGAAGGATGAAAATGAATAAAATGTCCATGTTTACACATCAGTGACACCTACTGAGTGATCAGACACTTGGTCTAACTAGGATGGATTTATATTTTCATTTATTCAATAAGCAGATGCTTTTATCCAAAGTGACTTACAAATGAGGAACAGCACGAGCTATTTGTCATGGAGCCAACAACATTTATACACAAATGTGCACAAAATGTGAAGAGGCATTTGCATAGAAAACATCAGAAAGGCTGGAAAATTGTCAACATAAATGATTAAAAAACTATATTTAAGGGTTTATAACCTCTTACAGGTAAGAAATGATTTCACAGGAATGAATCGTCAGCACACACTGCCTGCAGTGTCGTGTTTCCTCCAGTTGGTGGCAGTACAGCATCATGTTCGTTCGCTCTTGAGGTAACAGTCTGACTCTGACAAACTCGGGTTCGACTCGTTGGTAACCTGTGACATCAAGCCAAATCCTGCCCTCCGTTCAACCACTTCCACTCTCTCAGTATCTAAAAGAGAAAGAGATGAATGTCAGTGATGGATATAATCTCTGATCTGCGTGTTTTATGGACATGTTTTAATGAGGTATGAATTATTCTCAAAGAGTTTGTTTCTTCATCAGGTTTGGAGAAATGTATTGCATCACTTGCTCTGCAGTGAATGGGTGCCGTCAGAATGAGAGTCCAAACAGCTGATAAAAACATCACAATAATCCACAAGTAATCCACACCACTCCAGTCCATCAGTTAATGTCTCGAGAAGCTGAAAGCTTTATGTTTGTAAGAATCAGATCCATTCGTATGGTGTTTTAACTGTTGCTTCTGTCTAAAATATGAGTCCATATTCGATAATAATGCTTCCTCCATTGAAAAAGTCCATCTCATTTTGTCCTCTCTCATCAAAATCAACCCACAGATTTGTTTAGAGCTGTTTTGGCTTGTAAACGGTGCTTGATCTGTGCAGATTTCTCTCCACATTCAGACCAGACCACTTTTTCACTGGAGGAAGCGTTATTATGGATAGAGGACTCGTATTTCAGCAAAAGAAGCAATCGTTTAGTTAAAAAGTCTCATTATTGCATTTTTTTTATTACAAACATTAAGCTTTTGTCTTCTCCAGATGTTAACTGATGGACTGGAGTGGTGTGGATAACTTGTGGATTATTGTGATGTTTTTATCAGCTGTTTGGACTCTCATTCTGACGGCACCCATTCACTGCAGAGCATCCATTGCTGAGACACTGATGCAATGCTACATTTCTCCAAATCTGATGAAGAAACAAACTCATCCTAATCTTAGATGGCCTGAGGGCGAGCACATTTTAAGCAAATTTTCATTTTGGGCATTTTGCTGAATTTGAAATTCAGTAAAAACTACAAAACGAGTCAAAATAGTTATATTTCTCAAACGAGTTACCTGCATGCTGGACTCTGTTTCCTGAATGGTGTCTTGCACTAAACTCTGCAGGCGGCTCTCAAACATCTTGCTCTCCTCAATCACAAGCTGAGACTCGTCTCTGAACACACACGAGAGAGAAACACTCATGATGGAAACATGCAAATGAATGCAAAGTGTGTCTCACACGCTCTGACGCTGGACTCACGCCTGCGGTACGTCGGACGGTCTGTGGGACATCAGTGGGTGTGCAGGGGCCGGTGGAGTTCGTCCTCCGTCTGGACTGCCGCTCACTGGACTATGAACCTTACTCTAAAACACACAAGCTCAAGTCAAGTACACGACATTGTGCAAGTGCACACGTGCATACTGCAGTAGTATGAGTAGTATGCATACGCAGGCCACTTTCAGCAGGTTCCACAGCTCCTTCTGTCTCTTCTCCTGCAGGTGCAGCAGTTGTTTCTCGCTGTGGGCCATCGCACTCACCATCCCCTCCACACGCGGCAGCAGCTCCAGAACTCTGACGGCACACCATCGTCTTACTGCACACACACATGCACATTAGGCAGATTTTAATGTCATTTTTATACATTTAAATCAATTATGATGATGACTGAACAGGTCATTCCTGAATAGTATACAGGATAAAGCAATGAAATTAAAAAGAAAACAGAAAAATTATCAAGTTAAAGGTACAAATTCCATACTAATTAGTTTATTTTCAATGTATCAAGACACAAAATGAATAGATATAAATATTAACAGATTTAGCACTAATTATTTAAAAACTAAAAAAATATTAGGTCATATAGTGCTTTATACAATACAGCAATTTCAGCTGTAAAGCAGCTCTACAGAAGACAATAGTGTCATTCAGTTCATAATTAAGTTAATTATTAAAGTATAATTTTAAGTAAAAAAATACATCAAAACAGTATGTATCCTTCAAATATTTTTCAGTCAAGTAAACATGAATTTAAAAAGGTCTGATGAAAAGTTATTCATAAAACGAATAATAAAGAAACACATTACTCGTAATAGAAAAAGTGCCAGGTTTATTTTTCTTTTTCAGTTTTTTTTTCTTGTCCCGTCCATCGCTATTGTACGATTCTAAGTCAATTAAAATTCAGCGCTTTTGCGAAAACTCCCTATGTAATAAAAAAGCAGTCTACACAGCACAATGAAGGTCTTATTAGATCGTGTTTATACATTTTTGGTTATTATGACAAGATTCGCGAGCGTTAAGAACGCAATCTTAAACGTCTGTGATTGGCCACTGCGTTCCTGCGCTCATCAAACATGTCTGTGATTGGCTACAATGCTCACCGCTTCAAAAAACACGTTGCAATTAGAAACAGCCGACGTTCTTCACATACGCGCGGGAGGATTTGAAAACAACTGTATAGCATTAGTTACCGAAACTGAGTATGTATTTTTGTAATTTCAGTATCGACTTGCTTATCGAAATACAGGAGCTTTTGACAATTTGATTGGCCATTGCGTCCTCAAGCGCAACAAACATGTCTGTGATTGGCTAGTGGCTACAACGCTTTAAAAAAACACACGTTGTAAATAGAACCCGTCGAGCTCTTCACAGAGAGAGACAATGTTGCCAAGTCCGCAGTTTTCCGCAGAATCCGCTACTAATGCACACTGCACGATTTTAGCCCGATTTTTCACTCGCCGACAGGTTTTGCGAAATCGCCGGCAAATGCCCAACATCGGAGGCAAATCGGTGCTTGTTCACGCGAGTGACAATCGCACAGTGTGAATTATCAAAGACGCGATCTGAGGGAATCGCCGACACGTCGCCGACGCCCGTGAAATATTTGGCATGCTAAATATCTGGAGCTGTCGGCGATTCACAACCACACTGTGTGCAATGATTTCTGACTGAAAAACACATCGGCAAGACATAGGGAAGCGGGAAGTTCGGGGAGGAGTTATATGAAACGTAGTTTGCGTGGCGTGTCTCTTTGACTAGTGCATCTTTGAGCCTATATTTAGTATAAGTAAAATACTTAAGTACTGTTAAAATCAGATACTCTTTTTACTCAAGTTGTTTTGGAATTGGTGACTTGTAACGTGTAGTGGAGTAATTTTCACTGTAAGGTATCTGTACTTTTACTCAAGTATGGTTTTTAGGTACTCTTTACACCTCTGCTGAATGCTACCCCAGATAGCCGTTCAGTGTGAAACCAACAGTGATGCGACGTCTTTGAAAATCGTGCAGCGTGAACTCGGCATAATCCACAACATATCAGCATAATTGGGCTACTTTTACACTTTTGCTTGTTTATAGTCCACGAGTTATAGCTACCACCGCCCCCGGAACGTAGGGGAAAAACGTGGAAAAACGCCATTGGGCTTCTTTTGGGCTAGCTTTGATTAGCAATTAGGTGGGTTTGTTTCGCAGACCTGGCAACCTGCGCACAATTACATGCTGGAGGGTTTCAAAGCAGCCGACTATCAGCGGGTACCGAATTCAGTCGGTATTTTATTTTTTTTTTACGGTTTTAGTACCGAAATACAGGTGCTTTTCACTTTTACTACTTCTACTTAATTACTACTAACTTCTCCAGACGTGAAGTTCATTAAAAGGTAGGACAATTAAGTATTACTTCTTTTCGTTAAATGCCAAACATCAAATGTGTTATTCACTGTGAGGATAATTTAGAGATAATTTTAAAAGTTTAATTTAATTACCTATTTTATCCTATATTTGTGT